GAGGCAGCTGAGGAGGAAAAGATGTGTTCAAGAAGGAAAAAGAGAAGCTGCATCAGAATTCTGCCTGAATGGTCTTATTTTTGTCAAATTATAGGTATATTAAAGAAAAAAGTAATGAGGGCTGCAGCTTCTGACTTGTGAGATGGTAGTGATAAACAAGGAGACAATAAAGGCAGACTGAATTATAGGAACAGTATGGTCCTACTTTGGTGAAAGTAACTCCCAGATCTAAAAGTCTATAATTGTCTGAGTGTGTGTGTGTGTGTGTGTGTGTGCACGCGCGCACGTGTGCACACATGAGAAGGGCATGCAAGGACCCAAACTGCCTATTGGCTTTGAGGATTGGTGAAGAAGAAGGAGAGTGCTGGAGGTGATGATTGACTTTTTTAAATGCATTTTGAATGTTTTTATTGTTACAAGGAACATGTGGTTTTTTAAAATCTGAAAATGAAATACTTACATGTTACCCCATTTCTTAGCTTGGATTGATACAACAAATTTCCATAGACTATAGGCAACAAACATTTATACCTCACAGTCCTGGAGGCTGAAGTCTGAGATGAGGTCAGATTCTAGTGAGGCCCCTCTTCTGGGTTGCAGATGACAACCTCTCACCATGTCCACATATTGGAGAACGAGGACAAGAGACGCTGGGGTCCCTTTCATAGGGATACTTCTTCTGTTCATGGAGGTTCTGACATCGTGGCTTACTTAACTCCTGAAGGACCCACCTCCTGATGCCATCATATTGGGAATTAAGACTTCAACACATGTGCTTTGGGGGACACACAGATGTTGAATCCATAATGCCTTCACCAATCAAAAAAAGGGTTACTAGGAACCAGCCCCACAATCCCTTGCTCTCCTCCTCTTTCCACCCTATACTCCTCTTCAAGGTGATACCAATTTCACAATGTTGTATTTTTCTCAGAAAACTGTTGTACTTTGTCCCCAGTGTTTTTAATCTGACCCATGTCATGATTCTTATAAAAATATCTGTGGAACCCTTGATTCTTTAAATTAAAAAATCATCCTGGAGCTGTTTTGGCATTTCACCTCAGTCCCTCTTGCTAATCTATTTGCATGCATACCACTTTTTAATTGAATAATTAAATTCAATTTGAATAATTACTCTTAATAAGACATGAAGTCTTCAGCCTGCCTGGGCTAATTTTACAAAGACACTCCCTTGATTACCTCTCTTGCCTTGGAAAATGTGGCACATTTGCTGTGAACACTGAGGGGACAGGAAACCTCTCTACTGCATTCCCTCAAACCTGCCCCAAATCATTTATCCTTGAAAGCTTCTTGAGTTACTCTTGCTCTTTGAATCCCTTTGGGCTCATTGTTTTTTCTTTTTATTTTATTTTATTTTTTTTATTGTTGGTTGTTCAAAACATTACATAGTTCTTGATATATCATCTTTCACACTTTGCTTCAAGTGGGTTATGAACTCCCATTTTTAGCCCATTCATAACCACTGTCTTAGTAAGCTTAGGCTGCCATGACAAAATACCAGAGGCCAGGTGGTGTGAACAACAAATATTTGTGTCTTACAGTTCTGGAGGCTGAAAGTCCAAGATCAAGATACTGGCAGATCTGGTCTCTGGTGAGGGCCTGCTTCCTGGTTTGCAGATGGTGGCCTTCTTGCTTATATCCTCACTTGATAGACAGCAACAGTTCTAGTTTCTTCCTCTTCTTATGAGAACACTAATCCCATCATGGTGTTCCACCTTCATTCAGACATCATCTAAACCCAATTGCTTCCCCAAGGCCCCCCCTAATACTGTCACATGGAGGGTTAGGCTTTCAACATCTGAATTCAGATATGAGAGAGACACAAGCATCCAGTCCATGATAAACTATCATAGCCTGTACATATCACTCTACAGCTACGAGCACATGTGTCCTTTTTCCAAGTTTGTGGAATTCCTCAATGTCCAGGACATTATTTAGCATTATTTTTGCATTTGTAGTACCTCAAGTAGTTACTGACATCTTTTATCTCCCGTTGTCTGTCCTCTCTGACACTGTACTAGGTACTGTCTCTGAGATCAAAAGATAAAGTCTTATTTCTCAAATATCTCAGAATTTCCATGGGGGAGGAAGTTAAATAAAGAGAGTAAAGCAGAGTGCAATGCTGTTTGACAGGAACATGCCTAAGTCGCTGTGGCTCTCAGAAGAGACTCATTCTGAGAGTAGAAGAGGAGGAGTGGTTGGCCAGGAAGGCTTGGAAGAGGTGTTTGTTTTGAGTCTTCCAAGCCAAGGAGGAGTTAGCTCAGTGGGGAGGATGGAAGAGGATTATTCTAGACAGCAGATGCCATATGCACATGGTAGCTAGAAGACTGACCCCATCTGAGGGGATGATTGCAGTATGTCAAGGAAGGAATGGAACAAACAGTATGTGCATAGACATGCAAATCTTAAAATACCAGTGTCATAGGGGAACAGAGTTCACTGCAGCAGAGATCTGTTGGTGGTGCAATAGAGATCTGTTTCCATAGGCTGGAAAACTAGGCTGCAGCTGAAGAGTAAAATAACCTTGGGTCCTAAGCTAAAGTGTTGGATTTTTTTTTCCTGGTTGGCAAGAAGAATCCAACACATCTCAGCCTCCTCCTGCCCTGAAAAGTTGTAGCCTTTTATTTACATTTGATGATCAACAATAAAGTATGCAGACAGAAGTTGTCTTAATTGCCGATTTAATCAAACTCATAGATTTTTTTTAATGACTGTGAAGATAATGGGGACCGTTCTATTTTAGAAGAAATGAAAAATAAATCAGAAGGTGAACTGGAGTGAATAAAAAGAATCATAGGCTATTCCCCTTCTTGGTCTATTCCCTAAAGACCTAAAAAGAGCATACTACAGGGACACTGCTACATCGATGTTCATAGCAGCACGATTCACAATAGCAAGACTGTGGAACCAACCTAGATGCCCTTCAATAGACGAATGGATAAAAAAAATGTGGCATTTATACACAATGGAGTATTACTCTGCATTAAAAAATGACAAAATCATAGAATTTGCAGGGAAATGGATGGCATTAGAGCAGATTATGCTAAGTGAAGCTAGCCAATCCCTAAAAAACAAATGCCAAATGTGTTCTTTGATATAAGGAGAGTAACTAAGAACAGAGTAGGGACGAAGAGCATGAGAAGAAGATTAACATTAAACAGAGATGAGAGGTGGGAGGGAAAGGGAGAGAGAAGGGAAATTGCATGGAAATGGAAGGAGACCCTCATTGTTATACAAAAGTACATACAAGAGGAAGTGAGGGGAAAGGGAAAAAAAGGAAAAAAAAACAAGGGGGAGAAATGAATTACAGTAGATGGGGTAGAGAGAGAAGAGGGGAGGGGAGGAGAGGGGAGGGGGGATAGTAGAGGATAGGAAAGGCAGCAGAATACAACAGACACTAGTATGGCAATATGTGAATCAGTGGATGTGTAACTGATGTGATTCTGCAATCTGTATATGGGGGTAAAAATGGGAGTTCATAACCCACTTGAATCAAATGTATGAAATATGATATGTCAAGAACTATGTAATGTTTTGAACAACCAACAATAAAAATTTAAAAAAAAGAATCATAGAGTCATAGTTAGATAAATCAAATCAAGGAGAAAAATGAGACACTTTCTAATACGTACATGCCGGGCTCTGTGCTAGCAGCTACAAAGGCAGAAACCCTCCTTGGTTCACCATGGTGCTTCATTAACTGACTTATTTATTTTTTGATATCTGCAGAAAAATATCATATACTACTTGCATTCTGATCTTTGCTACTCTAAAGAAAGAGTAAAATAGACTTTAAATTTGTTAAGTTAAAAGAAGTTGCTTTTACAAGTAAAATCTAAAAACTACTATTTGTTTTTTTTTAATTTTTATTATTAGTTGTTCAAAACATTACATAGTTCTTGACACATCATATTTCATACATTTGATTCAAGTGGGTTATGAACTCCCATTTTTACCCCATATACAGATTGCAGAATCACATCCGTTACATGTCCACTTTTTTACATATTGCCATACTAGTGTCTGTTGTGTTCTGTTGCCCTTCCTATCCTCTACCATCCCCCCTCCCCTCCCCTCCCCTCCCCTCTCATCTTCTCTCTCTACCCCATCTACTGTAATTCATTTCTCTCCCTTGTTTTTTTTTCCTTTTCCCCTCACTTCCTCTTATATGTAATTTTGTATAACAATGAGGGTCTCCTTCCATTTCCATGCAATTTCCCTTCTCTCTCCCTTTCCCTCCCACCTCTTATCCCTGTTAAATGTTAATCTTCTTCTCATGCTCTTCCTCCCTGCTCTGTTCTTAGTTGCTCTCCTTATATCAAAGAAGACATTTGGCATTTGTTTTTTAGGGATTGGCTAGCTTCACTTAGCATAATCTGCTCTAATGCCATCCATTTCCCTGCAAATTCCATGATTTTGTCATTTTTTAGTGCAGAGTAATACTTCATTGTGTATAAGTGCCACATTTTTTTTTTAACCATTCATCTATTGAAGGGCATCTAGGTTGGTTCCACAGTCTAGCTATTGTGAATTGTGCTGCTATGAACATTGATGTAGCAGTATCCCTATAGTACGCTCTTTTAAGGTCTTTAGGGAATAGTCTGAGAAGGGGAATAGCTGGGTCAAATGGTGGTTCCATTCACAGCTTTCCCAGGAATCTCCATACTGCTTTCCAAATTGGCTGCACAAATTTGCAGTCCCACCAGCAATGTACAAGTGTACCCTTTTCCCCACATCCTCTCCAGCACTTGTTGTTTGACTTCATAATGGCTGCCAATCTTACTGGAGTGAGATGGTATCTTAGGGTGGTTTTGATTTGCATTTCTCTGACAGCTAGAGATGGTGAGCATTTTTTCATGTACTTGTTCATTGATTGTATGTCCTCCTCTGAGATGTGTCTGTTCAGGTCCTTGGCCCATTTGTTGATTGGGTTATTTGTTTTCTTATTGTTTAATTTTTTTTATGTGTGTTTTTTTTGTTAGGTCAGTGTGAACCCATTACCCTGGAACTCTGCATGAATTTGCCCTACAACCATACAAATTATCCAAATTATCTTGGCCACCAGACTCAAAAGGAAGCATCCATCAGCTGGGAGTCCTCGCTCTTTCCAGCACTGGTTCAAACGAACTGTTACAAATACCTCATGTTCTTTGCTTGTACCATTTTGGTACCAAAGTGTGATGTGAACACAGGCCAGCGCATCCCCCCCTGCAGGTAATATGATGGGGTCTTCAATGAGTATCCTAATTTTATTTCCAGAAGATCTAACAGAAAGAAGATGTCGTCAAGTTCAGACAAAATAAATATCGCTAAAAGTCTCTGGATTTAACAAATGATATATTTAAAAAGTAAAGTAGCAGGAATGGTAAAATGAGTATGTGAGTAAGAATCCATGACTCCAGAGAAGTCAGGGAAGCGAGGAGGTTGTGCACTATCTTTGATGATAGGTCATGCACTTGAATAATAAAACCACACGCATTTCATTGGAGTGGGTCAAGAAGCATTTTTAAAAACTCTAGTTAGCAGAGAAAGGAGGCATACGTGTCTCTTTTCTCTGTCAACATTGATGTGTTTAAAATGCTGCATTCTGATAGCACTCAAAAGTGAGAGATATTACACAGGGAGACAGAACACCAGCCTCACAGCTTGGATGGGGATGGACATCACTGACATTTTTCTGCTTCTCTGAATGAAGTTAAGTAAGGGACAGAAACTGAGAGTGTGGCTTGGACTTTGTGCATGAGTGATAACCTAGAGATCAGAAGTGTTGTTCTGGAGTGCACTGTTTGCATTCAAGTTCTAGATCCCTAGCTGGAGTGGAGCCTTAAGGCAAATTCTTCAGGCTCTCTGCCTTGGTTCCTTTACCTGGTAAAATACTAAGGTAATGGGTTGTTGTGAGATTAAATGAAAATGCATAAACAGAAAGTCCTCTCATGGGTTGTGAGCCCTGTGATGAGATAGCTATGATGACAGCACAGGAGCACAGTTGCTTAGTGAAGGTGTTGTTCGTCCTCCATGCCATGGGTTAGAGATTGCAGTACAAGAATGTGCCCATACAAGATGACTATCACAGTCAGTGCTGTTTCCCATTAAGGGTGACTATGCAGATGTGCTTGCCAAAGCATGAGTGGTAACTACACAAACCATATGTTAAGATCAGAAGTCACTTAGAACTTCAAGAAAAGGCAATAATATCAATATAGTAGACAGATGGGAAAACTATAAATTAAATACTAAATACCAAATGGATGACAAAATAGGGCCATCTATGGAGTCAGAACAGGAAACAATAAATTTACAAAATGATTTGGGGTCCTTGTTAAATCATACAAAATGAGGAGTGTAAAAATATCAGCTTGTGCAAAAATAGTTCTGAAAATTTCCGTCAAATTGTCTTTTCAAGTATCACCATTAGAATAGATAACAACTTTATATTGAAAAGCCATTTGTAAATCTCATTCTACTTTTGCTAAGTAAGGTCAATGGTGATAGTGAATAATTATTTTTAATAGTACCTCACATAGTCTTTGATTTTTCTTATATGTACATAAAATTTTTTCTGAATGCAAATTCTTTGCTGTGAATATAAATTATCTCCATATATAATTTTATAATTTCAGGGTTCAAATTTTAAATTAGAATGACTAAGATGAGACCGGTTCTGAGGAATTATTCAGTTAACATTTTGGTGAACTTCTCTGGATGCTTTTATTCTGTTTCTTAGATTTTACTCATATATCTTCCATCTTCAGTGGCTAGCAGCATAAATTTTATATTTTGATATTTGTTTATAAAATTTTAAATATTATGACAAGAGATATGCTAAGAAGCTCATGAGCAATACTTAGTTGATGTTGCCAAGACTGTTTATTAATATTAACATTTAACTTTTAAGTCATTTGTCTAAAAAAATATTGAACATTACAGTCATGACAGTATGCTAGATACTTGAGGGTCATTATGCTGTCTCTTGTTCACAATAGTCTTTTGAGTGAGGTGTGAAATGTGAGGATTGCTGCCTATGACTGAGCACCATGCAGGTTATGATGAGAACAGCACTCTCTGGAGTTGTGGTGCTGCATACTCAGTGATTTCCATTTTTTAGAAAAAAAATTGAAGTGGTAGAGTCAGGGACTATGCAGTTTTCTGTATAAGTTAGGAATCTGTGGTTAACTTAAAATAACAGCAGCAATTGAGATATATACATTTGTTGTAAATCTGAAATAGAACTATTTAGTCCAACAGACAGTTATTGAGCACTATTGAACTTCCCATTTTTGCAAACCGAATATTAGAGTGCTTTGGCTTCATTCTCATTCCGAATTCTGAAGCCAAACTGAGTTATGCTTTGCTTGTGTGGACTTACACCTAGATAGAGTTTCTGTGAATCTTCCTCATTTGATTGCTAAACTTTCCCCAGCAGTTTCTAGCAAGACACTGGAACTGATCTTTCTGTAATATATGTCCTGATTCATCTAAAAAAAAAAAAGGAGAAACTGGTTGAGATTAGTTATACAGATTGTATATCTTTTGTCCAAAATGCTTGAGATCAGAATATTTGCATAAACTTTATTGGTTGAACATCCATAAAATCTGAAAATCCAGAATCTGAAATGTTCCAATTTGGATTTTGGAGCATTTCAGATTTTAGACTTCTGATTTAGGGATGCTCAACCTGAAGTTTAAAGTTTGATTTTCTTGAGAAGTAAGAATGTATTTAAAAGAAAATAAATCTGCCTAGTGTCTTTCTGGTTATGCCTACTTTTTTCTAACTATGTAATTAATTTTTGAGTAATAAAGCAAAAATACCTCCCACCCCCCATATCCCCAGAAGGTAAGGAAACCTCCTTTGAGACATGTTGATACCTAAAGTTAAATATGTCCCAGGCATAAATGAGATAACATACACAAAAGCACCCAGCACAGTTCCTCCTGAGTAGCTGGGATTATAGGCATGCATCACTGTGCCTGGCTTGTGCACATTCTTAGTGTAATTTTTCTTTAAAAAAACAGTTTCACTGGGCATGGTGGGGCATGCCTGTAATCCCAGCAGCTCAGGAGGCTGAGGCAGGAGGATTACGAGTTCAAAGCCAGCCTCAGCAAAAGCAAGGTGCTTAGCAACTCAGTAAGACCCTGTCTCTAAGTAAAATACAGAATAGGGCCGGGGATGTGGTCCAGTTGTTGAGTGCCCCTGAGTACAATCCCCAGTTACCCCCCGCCCCTCCCCCCCCCACACAAAAAACAAAAACAAAACAGTTTCATTTTAACCAACTTGATTTCAATGTAGATAAGTTTGGGACCTCTACCAAGTTTTTCAACAAATTGTTGAAACTGAAATAAGGGAGGCAATGCCTTAGGTAAGCCAGAGTGGCCCATGAGGTGTCTCCTTAGCTGGTCATAGGAGGGAGAGACCTCAGAGGATGGGAATGTTGTGTAGACTCTTGGCAGCAGACTACCCAAAGTGGACTCAACCTGCTTGGTGTAAAGGAGTGGAGAACTTGTCTTCTTGAAAGACCAAAGAGACAATGGGAAAGGCCAACTAGAGAAGAAAATCTGCATCTGGGAAAAATCCTTGTTTCTCTTTTTAAAATGAAATTTCTTTTGGTGAAAGTATATTTCTGGAACATATTCTATTTGTAGAGCTATTTCTCACTTTAGCTTCCTAAATACCTCTATGTATGTGCATGTCTCTATATTTGCATACATTACTCCTTACATATAGACCCAGACTCTCACTTGATAGAATTACAACCCTTCATACATTCCTAACATCTCCCATCTGCCTCTGACATTCTGACTTTCTTGCTGTTTTAGAGTACTGTGTGAACACTCCAAAGAACGCTGTGAGTCTGTTCTTGGGATCGTGGGCTTACAGTGGCCTGAAGACACAGATTGCAATCAATTTCCAGAGGAAAACGCAGACAATCAAACCTGCCTGATGCCTGATGAGGATGTGGAAGGTTAATTTTTAAATTAGTTACAGTGGGGCATCTACCATGAATGCACACATCAGCTACCTTTTGAAGTCTTTCTGTTTTGAGGGAGGTGGTGTTGTTGCTTTTCTATTTAGTAGTGAGTCAAGCAGCACAGGACTTGATTTCATTGTTGACTTTCGTGTATATCTGTTAGACATTGTCATCATTTTAAAAATAAGTCACTTTAAGAAATAAATATATTTGAACTCAGAGATGAGTTCAAATTTTCAGCTGTTTGCCCTTTTAACCATACTTCACTTGCAGAGCTGATTGTATATGGTTACTACTTCTGAGCTGCAGTCCTGGCAGTAAAGGTGAACATGAATCTTTGGTTCCTTCATGCTCAAAGCATTTAGGGGCCTTGACAATATAGGATCACTAAATGGAGAAGTGTTATTGAGAACCTGTCCACCATGGGGAAATATTGGGATTTGGAGGTGATTTTGACACACTGAAGGCAGCTGAGTGGTCATAAGCACTGATTACACATGGTACTTTGGGCTCTGGCCACTGTTAGGTGGTGTGTTTAAAAAGATAATTCATCACTGGAAAGCATGGATACTAAATTGCTGATCCAAAAAGATGACAATAAGGATGAAGGAGAAAGATGCTGATTACCAAACAGAAGAGAACCTAGTAAACCTCAGATGTTTTAGCTTTTGGAGGGCTTTCCTGTCTTCAATAATAGCTGCTCAGTGACATGCCGCATGTAAATAGATCATTTAGCTGAAGTTTTTGGAGTTTCTGTTCGTTGAGAGTAATATTGTTTTTAACAGAATGTTCACCCAGTCACTTTAAATGCCACTCAGGAAGATGTGTTCTGGCTTCCAGAAGATGTGATGGCCAGGCTGATTGTGACGATGACAGTGATGAAGAAAACTGTGGTATGTATGTGAGCTTAGGAAAGGGCTGCGTTGAAGAACATAACTTTCACGTACAGCATTGAATCATGACTAGGATCAAATGCTAATGTGTCTGCTTCTTTTATTATTAAACAGCAGAGCATGGATTGATGTGTTTTTCCTGTAACCTCTTGATTTTCTCTAAATTACACTTCTATTTATAACCTTAATGGTATATGTGCAAATACTTAGTAAAAGAAGAAACCGTTCACAGATACAAAGAATCATTTTTGTAATTTAATTATAAAGAAGAGGTTATATGGTTTTCTGCCAAAATAATAGTATTTTTGTGTGTATTTCCTAAGTTGCCAAATAGGCATCTAGATGCATGAAGACAGAGTTGAATCTCCAATGTTCAAATTTAATAGGGGTTCATTTCCATGCCCTCTCTTACCTTGTCTCTGTCAGCAAAGAATAAAACTCTTCTTGATGTTTCTACCATTGAGCTCCAAAATCACCAATGGAAAGGTGAGAAATACCAATGGTAATTTCAGTGGAGCCAATTCTTATTTTATTTCCCTGTAAACTTTGGTACTTATAAGCTCAGAATGTGCCAGAGAATAGAAAGCAGGCAGTACTTTTAGTAAACAGTATTCTGGAATAAAGCAAATGATTGAAGGGCTATCCAAAGACTGGTTGTGTTATGATTATTTAGCTTGTCATGCCCCAGAATAAAATTGACACTTTTTTCATCGAAAGCACATATGGCAATACATCTTTCGAGATCATTTCATTCTTCTGGCCTTTGAGGTATGAAATATTGCCTTGCTTCCCTAAATGAAATTTCTTCAGACTTTCTTGTTTCACCAAATGTCACAAACAGTCAATAGAAATCCTAATGGCTACCATAAATATGGACAAGTATATCTTCTAGAAAATTACAGCTGTCAGAATGACAGTGCAACAGCCAGGGCTAATTTTTACTATGGAGGAACATATAGTATTTTGATAACTTACTGTGTTTCCTTGTTGTGTCTTTCTTTTAAAAATAAATCAAAATTATTTGAATATCATTTATATGCATTTATTGAGAATGCATTAAATTTGTTTGCTTAAAATGATTTTGATGAGTTATCCTATGCTGAGATGCACTTCAAAATGGGTTATCTTAGATGGTTCACAGAGGTTGCATGGTATTCTACTAGAGTGGCTAGACTCACATTTTCAGCAGGGAAACTAAATATTTGAGAAATGCAAAAACTGTTTTTTTTGTTTTTGTTTTTGTTTTGTTTTTTTGTTTTTATGCATTTCTTGGCAGATAGCTTTGACATGACTAAAAAGTCTGCATTCTGGAATATGTTATACAAAAAAGTACTATAGTATAGGATAGGTTTAATTGACCCTAAACTATCAGGTTTCTAGCTAATAATAAGTTTTCATCAATACTTTAATCAAATAATTTAAGGTGTACCAAAATTCTAAAATAGACTGATCTCTATTAAATATTCAAAAATACTATGGAGAGCTAATCAAGAAAAAAAATTAAGATAGGCAAGAAATTAACACATTGGTGTTAAATTAATTGTTGTAAATGTACCAATTTAAGAGACAATTCTCATTTAATATTTCAAAGCAACTTACAGTAGATATTTTATGTGCCCCTTTGGGACATATGCATGCCCTTACCTGGACTTGCAGCAGGTTGGGAGGATAAACCACATACAATTAATAAGGAAATTGGATTGACAGAGACCCAAAAGAGGACTATTAACAAGTCATTCAGTTCCCCTTTTCTGTTTGTTTTCAGGTGTGCATCGGCATACCATTTGGTAATGCAGACACCAGCCCCAAAGAAACTGGGAAACGGGGTTGCATACCAAATTCACGTTTTTCTGATTGATTCTATCCATTGGGGTATTGAAGGAAGTTAAATGCTAAAGCTTTCCTGAGTAATATGATGTTTAACTCTTCATGAATTTACAGATTTCTCCCAGATTCTAACAACATTATTAAATTTTCCCCTTGAAACAATACTTATTTAATTCAGTTATAAAATATTCGATGTGTTAGAAATTAATTTTACTTTGCATTTCTTTAGCACTTTTCTAGAACCTAATCTATGGTGGTGTTATGGTAAGAATTGAATTTTTCCAAAAAAAAAAAACACAGATTCTTTTTTCTCAAAGCTGAGTCAAAGAAACCCAAATCAATCACCTACAATTTTTCCCCATTTATTTGTACAAAGTCAGATGAAATAACATTTTGGAAGAGACTCCTTATTCGATCAATACTTTGTATTCCACTCACCTTTAAATAAATTATAATTTCCTGGGAACCACAGTCTTAGTGTTCATTACATAAATTCCACTTACAAATGTGTTGAGGGCCTAACACATGCTAGCTGCTATTCAGGCAGGAGCATGAAGGGTGCTTAAAAGCTAAGTGCTGTGCTATCTCTTCCTTCATGCCCCTCACAACCAGGCGAGGACCATGAATCTGACTGGAGTGACAAACACATTAGACACTTGGCATGTTTCAGAAAACATGAAATGCACTTCATTTGAGTCAAATGGCATTTATGAAGTCCACGATAAATGCTTTTTATTGCATATGCATATTGCAGCTCAAGTTAGGGACGTAGAGCCTTGCTCTTGTCCAATCATGTTCATTTCTCATATTGATTGATAAAGTTTCCAACCTTAGATCTCTGACTTCTGTAAAGTATTTCCTTTTGCACCTGGCTCTTAAAACTAGTTTTGTAGATATTTAGCATGGGGAGAAAGTGTTTTGCTAAATTTACAGATATCCTCTCAAATTGTAAAGTGAAATTACATTTTAAGATCACATGCATTTGTATCTCTTGGCTTTGGCATACTTGCTTTAAAGCACAACTCATTTTTTGTAGAGAAGTCTTATGTGTTGGCAAATTGATTCAGAAAGCAAAAGGAGCAGCTCAATGTGAATGTGAATGAGTAGTTGCTTTTTCATTTTTTTTTCCTCGTTTCCCATATGTTGATTTTGTTCTTCTGTTAGGAGAGCTTTATGGTGCAGGATAAGGACTATTGGGGGATTCTACTCTCAAAATTATGATTTTCATGGTATACATAGGTGTCAAAACTTTTTAAGAAGAAAGAAAATATGATTGTGTTTTTAATTTTTCTACATTGCTTGATCAAATTCATCCTCATTTTCAACTGTACATCTGTTGCAACTAACCTTTTCTTCTGTCTCCAGGTTGTAAAGAGAGAGATCTTTGGGAATGTCCATCCAATAAACAGTGTTTGAAACACACAGTGATCTGCGATGGTTTCCCAGACTGCCCTGATAACATGGATGAAAAAAACTGCTGTAGGTGCTAACATGAATTTGTCAACACAATGTTTTTATTGTAAACACAAGTCATTTTACTTTGAATACAAATTAGAAATTTGGAGAAATGTATCAAAATCTTTTAGCTTATTTAAATCATACATGCCAAGAGGAAATCAGACATGTAAAATGTAGACACATGTTATTATTCTAACATTATTTGTAAAATTATGGAAAAATTAATAACCACTGAAATATCTAAAAATAGGTGATATAAAATAAAAACATGTAATGAAATAATGGACAAACATTAAAATCAAATTAGAGAGGAATAGTTTCTCCTGGGTTCATTTCATAACTTTAGTTGATGTGCATTGGTAAGCTTTCCGTTACCGTCACAAAATATCTGATATAATCAACTTAAAAAGAAGAAAGGATTATTTGGGCTCAGAGTTTTGGAGGTTACTACAGTCCATGATTGGGTAGACTCATTGTTTCTTGGACCTGTGGTGAGGCAGCATTTCATGTCAGATAGCATGAGCAAGGAAGATCTGTTTGGCTCATGATGGTGTGAAAAGAGAGGAAAAGAAAGGAATTGGGATCCTAATGTATTTTTCACGGGCATACTTCCAGTAACTAGAAGATATTCCACTAGACTTCACCTCTTAATTGTTCCACTATCTCCTTCTAGTGCCACAGGCTGTGAACCAAACCATCCACAAAAAGGCCTTTAGAGGATATTTATAGTAGTTGAATGAAACAAAGTTTCAATTTATTATGTGAATTGTTGCCCTGAATTTTGAAAGAACATATGCTGACATATAGGAAATGATTAGAAGGTCACGAAAATTGACAATTATAATCCCTGAGTGGTGAGGTTATTAAATTTTTGTGTTTTAAAATTTTTGTTTTAATATCTGAATGAATAAGCATCATTTTCAGAACCAGAAAAATTATCTCTTAGGATATTTTACTAACAAGTTGCAGAAAGCCCAATTCACAAGGACAATGAAAATATTCATAATCTTTTATTATCATATGTATTAAATATGTCTCCTTAACATGTAAAAGTGAAGTGTAGGGTAAATTCTTGAGACCCTGTGTGGGAGTTCAGCACTTTGTGATTCTCAGGCTGGCTAGTGAACAGCCACAAAAGCCTGGGGTGCCCAACTCCCTTGGTCATATTCAGTAGGAAGGAGATAGAATTTTGCTCTTATCTCTGGAATATCACTAAAGGATTCACTCAGGTCAACTTTGGTCAGGGTCACTGCTAACAGTTGGGCACCTTTGTGTAGATGAGAAAAGATGTTCTGCAAACAGCTGAATTCCAAAAAGGAGCTCCAAGCAGGAGAACTAATCAGAAGAAGATGTTGTTTCCTCAGGCTACCTCTGTCCCAATCTGGGGCACAAAGCCCCGTCAGCAGGGTTTTGGGCAGAAGCTGTCTTGCAAAGCATAACCCATAAAACCGTAGGCCATGGCCTTTGTTTGGGATCATATTTGGAGTATTAGTTGTACTTAGAAAACAAAAATTGAATTCAGAAAAATGCCATGCCCACCTTAAACTAATCAGGATGCATCAGCTGGGGATGATGGATGTGGAGCCCTGAAGAAAATCAGGTTTCCTTAGAAAAAGAGGAAAGGAAATGGATGCTAAGTAGGAAACCGAGGAGATTTATTATAATATTAACCCCTCCTCCCCCAAAATTATGTGTGACTGAGAGAGTAATTTAATAGTAGGTTTTTTTTTTGTTTTGTTTTGTTTTTTAAGAAAAACAAACATGTCCATTTATGTGAACAGAGCTTGTTTCCTTCCTGTGGTGTCTTTAGTCTGCTCATCTCTCTTGCTCTGTTCTTTAATCCTTGGTCTTTCTGTTGCTACAGGTACCTTTCCCACCCTCCCCCAACCTAGTCTGATTCTTACAACTAGAGAATCTAGGTACTTGGAGACAGTAATTCTGCTGAATTGCTATTTCGATGAGTTCACACCTATTCCCTGAAATTCCACAAGTTCTGTTATTCTGCCTCAATACCTGTTGGAAGGCTCCAGTGAGCACATATTCTTTTCCTGCCACGTTCCTCCTGGCAAATGAGTATGTGCGTGTTAGTGACAGTCACATTTATTTCCAAAATGTTTCAGTCTTCTCACTTCTTGTCTCCCCACCCCCACCAGCATTTTGCCAAGATGATGAACTGGAATGTGCCAACCATGAGTGCGTGTCCCGTGACCTGTGGTGTGACGGAGGAGCAGACTGCTCTGACAGTTCAGATGAATGGGACTGTGGTAAGCTGCTTGGTTTTGGCAGCTGTTGGACACTCTTGTGCCTGTCAGCCATTTCAGCTAAATGAATCCTAAATTACTTCATGGGTTTTACTAACCAAGTTCATCTATTTTGTTTTACTGTTATAAAAGCTAACAGTGGTGATGCATGGATGTTATTTCCAAGCCACGGGAAAGTTTCTGTCTAAATTACTCCTATTTGAAATGTCTATATTGCATGTGAAAACTTTTGGGTTCCAATTTTTGTAACCATATACTTCCTAGAAGAGATTTTTTTTTAAAGTTTTTATTGTCACTCAGCTTTAATAATGATAGCCTCTCATTCTTGAATGATTTATACTTAATAATGATAAATTTATACATCTCAGAAGAGGGTATTATAGTGGTTCCTCCATCTGCTCTGTGTTCTTGCTCCACATCTGAATGGGACTTGCATCTAGTTCCTTACTAGCTAGGATTTAAAACATTTCCTACCAGTACCACCAATGTGGCATTTCATAATCTTGAGTTATCTGATTAATTCCTTCATTCCACATCCATCTCTCCTTCCATTTACCTGGTTCTCATTTCAGTCCTTTGTGTCATTTGTGATTTGGTTCAATCACAATTCTGTGTGTTGTGATTAGTTGCACAGTGTCACATAAATGATCTGTGGCTCATTAAGCACAGAGGCTGCACTTTTACAATACAGGAATTACTGCATACATGTTAGTCCTAAATTAGCTTCACCTTCACACATTTGCAATCTCATGTGCTTTCTCCTAAGGAAATGGTGTAAAGAGTTACAATTAGCTTCTTATAATGAATATGCAAATCCGTGGGCAAATTCAAGGTAGTGGGCCGGGCCATGTCTCTGGCCATCTTCTAACTCATGAAGGAAAAGTCAAGAACTGCCCGCCTATTTCATTAAAGTCTTCAGTTCTGATGCATTAGTTTTTAGTTTTCATCACACTGAGATCAGTGATGTGCACATGGAGGATACTTAACAAATGGTTCTTTACCAAAATAAATAAGAATGAATGTATACAATTGAATCAAAGACATATAAAGTTATCACTTGGTTTCATAAAATGAAATGTTTTTAATTAGCATTTCCTGTCTTTCCCCCTCCTACCAGTGACCCTCTCTAAAAATGTCAACTCGTCATTCCTGACTGTCCACAGATCTGCAGTGGAACACCACGTGTGTGCAGATGGCTGGCAGGAGACCCTGAGTCAGCTGGCCTGCAGGCAGATGGGTTTAGGGTAAGGTCAGTAGTTTGTAGCACTGATGAATTTCTCAGAGGGTCTTGTGGAATTTGACAGTAATATTTTCTTCTGAATGCAGAGTGAATTAGTGCTCTCAAAGAGCTCTCAAAGCTGGGAAATGAATCAGGTGAGAGGACCTTCTTTAATTACAGGCACCTGCTCTGAAGAGTGTGGGCTGAGAACTTATTTTGATGAAGCTTCTAAAAGTAAATGAAGTAATTGTATTCTAAGTACTCCTGAAATGAAATACTTTTGTCATTTATAAAGGCATTAAGATGGTTTCCTTTGTGGAATGGGATGGAAAAATCTTGCAATTTCCCCCCAAGAGGTTATTGAAAATTCCTTTTTAAGTGACCCAGATTTTTTAATAAATTGAGAAACAGAACTTGAAGTTCCTGGTATTTCTATTTGCTTTAAGTAATATAGGAAATGTAAATTATGAAGTAATTCATCATTTCTTCTTTTTAGCAGAATGAAAAGACACTCTAGGACAGTTTTGATACACTGAAATAGATAATTTGAAAGTTAGAGACTTACTATTTTGTGAAGTTTTCTTTTTCAGTTCCATTGAAGATGAAATCAATAATTTGCAGTGTCTTAGAAAATATATGTGAATGTGTGTGTGTATCTATCTATGCCTGTATGTATATGTAGATACATTTATACACATACACGTATACATGTAATATATTTCTTTTACTACTAAAATATGTGAGATTTTGGAGAAATATAGAAAGGAGAAAATAGAGGATAAAGGCCTTATAAAATTCTAGAATAAGTGGGGCATGGTGGCACATACCTGTAATCCCAGAGATTCAGGAGGCTGAGGCTGGAGGATCACAAGTTCAAAGTCACTCAGCAACTTAGTGAGGCCCTATGCAACTTAATGTGTCTCTGTCTCAAAATATAATATAAAAAGGGCTGGGGATGCAGCTCAGTGATGAAGCACTTTGGGTTCAATTGCTGGTACCAAAAAAAAAATCTAGAAAAAAAAACTAAGCAGAGGACATTTCCCAGGATCCAGTGAGCAAACTTGGAACAATTTTACAATAATTAGCCATTCAATTATGAGATGGCAACTAGCAGCACATTTTGTTATCCTAGTTTGAAGAATTATGTAACTCCCAGCATCTTGTTTCTATTTCTCCACTGCAAAGACCCATATCACTGGAAAATTCAGTAACTGTAGATAATCTATGCAAATACAAAAAGCTTTAAATTTTGCCAGGCTGGGAAACTTGAATTTTTCAAGATCTATTGAAGTAAACTCCATTTTTTACAACTTTCTGATTGTGTCTACATGAAATGGGATATGATTGTGACTAGAGGTAAATGAAAAGCCTTTTGAACATGCTAAATTTGATCTTTCCTTCAATACCCAAGATATTTCTTAATGTACAAATTTGATTACATAACTATAGTAACCTTATTGAGAATTCTGAGGCAAAGTCAGAACAACAAAGATTTTACAACTAGAAAATTCTTTTTATCAAGCTACTCCAAATGTAACTCATCTATTGCAAATAAAAGGGATTCTGTTTTATATACTCTACTCTGTATTTCTTTTATTTTTTTATATGGGATTTTCTTATTGTGGTAAAGTACATATAACATGAAATTCCCCATTTTAGACACTTTAAAGTTTTCAGTTCAGTGACACTTAATATATTTACAATGTTGTACACCCACCACAGCTATCTAGTTCTAGAATGTTTTCATCAACTCCAAAGAAATGATAAAACCATTAGACATCACTCCCAATTTCACCCTATTCCAGGCCCAGGTAACTATTAATCTGCTTTCTGTCTCTAGAGATCTACCTGTTCTGACCATTTCAATATAAAGAAAGCATACAATATGTAATCTTTTTGTCTGGTTAATGTTTTCAAGCATCTTTGTTATAGTATGTATTAATATTTCATTCTTGTTTATAACTGAATAATATTTCATTGAATAGATATACCACATTTATTTATCCATTCAGATATTTGGGTTGTTTCCACTTTTGCTCTTGTACAAATATTGGATTTAAAAAACACTTATTCCTTTTGCTCCATTTTCTTAACAGAGCAGGAAAATGAAATTTTGAAATTAGCTATCTTAGATATTTCAAATCTATATTGACATGATATTTTCATTTTAGGTAAGTTTATTTCACTGAAGGGCTAAGAAAATGAGATGGAAATGTAGATGATAAACCATACTTACCATTTGCTTGGATTAATAGGTGATGAAAAGCCTAGTAGTGTCAAGTAGTGAAAAGTCAAGTAGTGTCAACTCTTCCCCGGAAATAAGCACTAGAGCTTTTGTACTATTTGATTGCTTTCAAGTTTACTCTTCAGTTTACTTGAGTGGCTCATACATTAACAAGGGCTAGACTGGGACAGGAATGAAAAGAATGGACAAGATGCAGCCAAATTCCTGCTAAGGAAATGGTTGACTTAGGAAGCTGCACTTTGCAACAGTCTCTGGAGACCAGCTGCTGCGCTGCAGATTCACAATTCTGCCACTAATGGCACAAAAGAATTTTAAGTAACCTTGAACCATGTGCAATACCCTTGATAGAAGGGGTTATCTGGCCATGCTTGGCCCACACTTCAACTGCCAACCTGGAGGAGAGGGAATGACTCACCTTCTAGCCTCTGGGGTATAGTCTCATGCCACTGGTCTACCTTTATGCTTTCAAACATATTCTGTACCAAAAACTTGAAGTTAAATAAAGCAACCCTCAATTAATTCTATTCAGTATCCTCCCATTTTGTTTTTTGAGTATCTGCTTATGGGCCCTGTACTGGGCTAGGTATAACATCAACAGAGTTTTTAATGTAATAGGGAAGACACACAGGGAAACAATTGTGAATATAAAAGTTAGAAAAAAAGTTCCGGATCTTTTGTTTTCTTTTTTGTTATCTGCAAATAGCAGAGTTCATGGCATTTCTATTAAAATTATATAAGAGAAACATTCTACTCTAATCTTATCTTTGGAGGGGGGCAGGGCACTGGGGACTGAACTCAAGGCCACTCGGCCACTGAGCCACATCCCCAGTCCTATTTTGTATTTTATTTAGAGACAGGGTTTCACCGAGTTACTTACACCTTGTTTTGCACCTGGGTATCACTGAGTTACTTATGCCTTGTTTTTGCTGAGGCTAGCTTTGAGCTTGCTGTCCTCCTGCCTTAGCCTCATGAGCTACTGGGATTACAGGTGTCTGCTGCCATGCCTAGCTTATCTTGATAATAAAAATTCATTCATTCATTCATTCATTCAGCATGTGTAAGAATATCATTGTAGTGTAGTGTCTGTCTAACATTCTCTATCTCCAAGTGAGTCATTTATCTTCTTGAGTTTGTATTTTATAGAACTAGTTCATGAAGAATTCAGGTCTACATCAAATTACATTGCAAGGATTCTATTTATATACTTCCAGGTAGAGGCAGTTGACTAAAAAGACCCGAACTTAGCAGTAATAAAAACATTAAAAAAAGACTTATGCTTAGGATTTTCAGACACAAGTTATGCCTTCCACGTCTTAGAGTGCAAATGGTAGGCTCTCAATTGTTTGTCTAAATGAGAAGATTCGGTGTTCTTTGATGAATTTGAAAAACTTTTTATTCTCATCTGTAGATTTTTCAAAAGTTCACTCCAAGATGGAAGAGTTCACTCTTTGTCTGCTTAGACAAAGGAATAAATCAACCCCCCTAAATACTCTTGACAGTATATTGACTTTGCTACCTGCATGTCCTATATCAAAAACATATGGACATTTATTTAATCAACAGTACAATTCAGGATTTGGACTTCCCTCTAATATTTGCCAAATGCTCAGCTGAGACATCTGGTATCTGAGGAAGTTAGTGTAAGGGAATGCAACTCTCCACGTCTCTTGGTTCCTTAAGTTCTGTCTGTAAAGTGAGATCATCTGGAAACTGTGTGTCTGGGCTCTACTATTTTGGCAAAAATTCCCTTATGGAGTTGACTGTAATTTGATTTTGTGATCTAATCCTTCAGAGTTGGTCAATGGAATAAGAATCCTTTCAAAGAATGTTTCTGTATCTTGTAAAACCACAGTCAAGACAGCATCTATTACCTTACCTAATAGTCCCTAATAATCTCTGATATTAGTTAGCATTTACATTGTAATTTCCTCCAACAGTTTACTTCCAGGAAAAAGTTTCTAACTTTGCATTGCTTTCGTCATGTAAGAACTATTTTTCCCAGGATGCGTTTCTTAGTGATTGACTTCCGTGAAACTTAAAGATAGATCCAGTTCTCTGTATTAGTAAACCCAACCCAGGCTGCTGGTCCTGTACATAGAGAAGCAGCTTAAAATCTTGTTATGATCTTTTAAAAATTGAAATATAATTCATATACCATAAAATTGACCCTTTAAAAGTACAAATTCAACAGTTTTTACTATATTCACAGGTAGTCATCAACACTAATTTCAAAACATTTTAATCATTTAAAACATCTTTTCATGTGTGATTAGCTGCTTGTATATCTTCTTTGGAGAAAGGTCTAGTCAAGTACTTTGTAACATTCTTGACTTATATTTTTTTCCATAATTTACTATCTAGGAAGTTACAAGCCCTCATATTTTCTTTCAAAACGTTTATTTTGTTCCCTTTTTCTCACTTATTTATTGAACACATAATTTACTGAGTGCCTATTCTATGTTAGGCACTGTTCTAGGTTTCTGGAATTCAATGGTGAGCAAACAGACAATGGCCTTTGCCTCAAATAGCTTATATTCTACTATATGTGTTATGAAATCATAACAAATAAATAAATAAATTATATAGGATTTTAGGTGGAAAGTACCATGAAAACTTTTTTTTTAAAACAAAGAAAAGGAAAGCACAGTGAACATAGCATATATAACAGCCCTGGGTTCAACCCCAATACTACAATATAAGTAAAAAAATACTTTGTTTTTAGTTTGAGTAAAATGAATCCCATCAACTGACTAAAAGGGGTCATTTTGGCTATTGTATTG